TCAGTCGCTCAGTTGTGTCTGACTCTTTGCGACACCGTGGACTGTGGCAAATTTGCCATGAAGTGATAGGACTGGATCTTAGTTTTCTGAATGTTGAGTTTTAAGCCAGCTTTTTTACTCTCCTCTTTCACCTTCATCAAGAGGCTGTTTAGTTCCTCTTTGCTTTCTGCCATAAGGGTAGTGTCATCTGCATATCTGGACTTATTGATATTTCTTCTGGGAGTCTTGATTCCAGCTTATGCCTCATCTAGCCTGGCGTTTCACTTGATGTACCCTCCATATAAGTTAAACAAGCAGGGTGAGAATATACAGCCTTGATGTACTCCTTTCCCAATTTGGAACCAGTCTGTTCCATGTCCAGTTCAGAATGTTGCTTCTTGACCTGCATATAGGTTTCACAGGAGGTAATACAAGTATTTATAGTTGTTATATCTTCTTGAACTGATACTTTGATCATTGTTCAGTGTCCTTCTTTGTGTCTTACAACTATCTTTATTTTAAAGTCTATTTTATTTAAGATGAGTACTGCTACTCCTGCTTTCTTTTGATTTCTACTTGTAGCAATTTCTTTTTCCAGGCTCTCACTTTTGGTCTGCATTTTTTCTTTTCATTTTCAAAACCCTTTATTTAAAGAAAAGTTCTTTTTTTTATCCTTTTTAAAATTTTTTTTATTTTTTTTCTTCTTTCATTCATTTTTATGAGTTGAAAGCTAATTACTTTACAATATTGAAGTGTTTTTTGCCATACATTGACATGAATCAGCCATGAATTCACATGTGTTCCCCATCCCGATCCCCCCTCCCACCTCCCTCCCCATCCCATCCCTCTGGGTCTTCCCAGTGCACCAGCCCTGAGCACTGTCTTATGCATCCAACCTGGGCTGGTGATCTGTTTCATCCTTGATACTATACTTGTTTCAGTGCTAGTCTCTCAGAACATCCCACCCTCGCCTTCTCTCACAGAGTCCCAAAGTCTGTTCTGTACATCTGTGTCTCTTTTTTTGTTTTGCATATAGGGTTATCATTACCATATTTTTAAATTCCATATATATGCATTAGTATACTGTATTGGTCTTTATCTTTCTAGCTTACTTCACTCTGTATAATGGGCTCCTGTTTCATCCATCTCATTAGAACTGGTTCAAATAAATTTTTTTAATGGCTGAGTAATATTCCATTGTGTATATGTACCATAGCTTCCTTATCCATTCATTTGCTGATGGGCATCTAGGTTGCTTCCATGTCCTGGCAATTATAAACAGTGCTGCAATGAACATTGGGGTACACGTGTCTCTTTCAGATCTGGTCTCCTCGGTGTGTATGCCCAGGAGTGGGATTGCTGGGTCATATGGCAGTTCTATTTCCAGTCAAAGCCACAGTCATCAAGACAGTATGGTACTGGCACAAAGACAGAAATATAGATCAATGGAACAGAATAGAAAGCCCAGAGATAAATCCACAAACCTATGGACACCTTATCTTCAACAAAGGAGGCAAAGATATACAATGGAAAAAAGACAACCTCTTTAACAAGTGATGCTGGGAAAACTGGTCAACAACTTGTAAAAGAATGAAACTAGAACACCTTCTAACACCATACACAAAAATAAACTCAAAATGGATTAAAGATCTAAATGTAACACCAAAAACTATAAAACTCCTAGAGGAGAACATAGGCAAAACACTCTCCAACATAAACCACAGCAAGATCCTCTATGACCCACCTCCCAGAATATTGGAAATAAAAGCAAAAATTAAAAAATGGGACCTAATTAAACTTAAAAGCTTTTGCACAACAAAGGAAACTATAAGCAAGATGAAAAGACAGCCCTCAGAATGGGAGTAAATAATAGCAAATGAAGCAACAGACAAAGGATTAATCTCAAAAATATACAAGCAACTCCTGAAGCTCAATTCCAGAAAATTAAATGACCCAATCAAAAAATGGGCCAAAGAACTAAAGAGACATTTCTCCAAAGAAGACATACAGATGGCTAACAAACACATGAAAAGATGCTCAACATCACTCATTATCAGAGAAATGCAAATCAAAACCACAATGAGGTTCCATTACATGCCAGTCAGGATGGCTGCTATCCAAAAGTCTACAAGCAATAAATGCTGGAGAGGGTGTGGAGAAAAGGGAACCCTCATACACTGTTGGTGGGAATGCAAACTAGTACAGCCGCTATGGAGAACAGTGTGGAGATTCCTTAAAAAACTGGAAATAGAACTGTCATATGACCCAGCAATCCCACTTCTGGGCATACACACCGAGGAAACCAGATCTGAAAGAGACACATGCGCCCCGATGTTCATCGCAGCACTGTTCATAATAGCCAGGACATGGAAGCAACCTAGATGCCCATCAGCAGACAAATGGATAAGGAAGCTGTGGTACATATACACCATGGAATATTACTCAGCCATTAAAAAGAATTAATTTGAATCAGTTCTAATGAGATGGATGAAACTGGAGCCCATTATACAGAGTGAAGTAAGCCAGAAAGATAAAGACCATTACAGTATACTAACACATATATATGGAATTTAGAAAGATGGTAACGATAACCCTATATGCAAAACAGAAAAAGAGACACAGATGTATAGAACAGACTTGTGGACTCTGTGGGAGAAGGCGAGGGTGGGATATTTCGAGAGAACAGCATCGAAACATGTATATTATCTAGGGTGAAACAGATCACCAGCCCAGGTTGGATGCATGAGACAAGTGCTCAGACCTGGTGCACTGGGAAGACCCAGAGGGATCGGGCCGAGAGGGAGGTGGGAGGGGGGATTGGGATGGGGAATACATGTAAATCCATGGCTGATTCATGTCAATGTTTGACAAAACCCACTACAATATTGTAAAGTAATTAGCCTCCAACTAAAAAAAAAAAAAAAAGAATCCCTGGACTACAAGATCAAACCAGTCAATGCTAAAGGAAATCAACCCTGAGTATCCATTGGAAGGACTGATGCTGAAGCTGAAGCTCCAATGCTTTGACCACCTGATACGAGGAACCGTTTCAGTGGCAAAGACCCTAATACTGGAAAAGATTGAGGGCAAAAGGGGAAGAGATCGGCAGAGGATGAGTTGATTAGATAGCATCAGTGACTCAGTGGACATGAATTTGATCAAACTCCAGGAGACGATGAAGGACTGGGGAACCTGGTGTGCTGCAGTCCACAGGGTGGCGGAGAATCGGACACGACTTAGTGACAGAATGACAACAAAAGTGAGGGGAATGTCCAAGTAGTTTCTCCATTTTCCAGCTCCAGTTAATTTGCCTACTCAGAAAGTTCTCCAGTATATCAAGGAAATATCTCTCTGGACATGTTGTGGGCAGTGCAGGGTCTGCTCAGACTCAGGTCTTATCTTGCTCCAGTTTGTACTTACTCTCAAAGCAGACAATTGACCCTAAAGTCCAGTCTCAGGCTAAATGCTGGAATTTAAACTGCTGCAGCTGTAACTTCTGAAATGGTTTCGCCTTCTTTCCTTTGCTCATGGGGCCCCTGATGTTCTGCTTTGGTTTTGGTCCCACCTTTGTTTTTAAGTCTTTCTCCCATGTTTGTTCACTTCCCAAATGTGAGGGTGTGAAAGTAGCTCCTTATTCAGGGTCACTTGCTCAATTGTGCTGGGGAGAGGGGTGTGTGGGGAGTGCTCATTGTGGCTGGGCAATGTGGAGGGTTGAGATAGTCTGAGGTGGGCCATGCTTTTCCCCAAGGGAATTAGTCCAGGTCTGTGGGACACTTGGCAGGGCTGAGACACTCAGGCTTCCAGGAAGACATGGGTGGCAACCTGCAGCTGCTCATTGCTGGGCAGTAGTTGTGCTCTCTTGGACTGAGATTATAGCGTTCCCTTGCCTTCCACCTCTGGCACCATGCCTGCCTCTCTGCCTCTGGAGCCACAGACCGCAGCTGGATCACACCTCTTCAGAATTCACTTGCATGGGGTCCCTTGTTCTGTGAGCACGTGGAATCACAGGGTGGTGTTAGAGTCTTCCTGTGGGAATGATCCTTTTTTTCTCTGGCAGACCCCAAGTTTTTCTGGTCTGTCTCTATTGTGTTGCCCCAGCCCCCTCCGAGTATCTTCCTGGCAGTCAGCCCTGGCCCTCTCTCTGAGGCCTCATCCCTGAAGCCTAGGCCTCTGCACCTAGCCCCCACTCACAGCAAGTGGACACAAGTGTGTGAGCCACTTCTCAGTTGGGAAATGTTGTTGGGCTTAATCTCTGTGGTGAATTTTCTCTGTTTTCATCTCAGAGCACCTGTCTTCCTGTGCTGCACTCTCCTCTGAGTTCTGAAGCTTCCCCTTGACCCCACATGTGAGGGGATTTCCTAGTGTGTGGAAACCTCCCCTCCTTTAGGACTCTCCCGGGGTGCAGGTCCCTGTCCTGATATCCTCTGTCTCCCTTTTAGTCTCTACCTTTTGCCCTACCTCACTCCAGTGAGATTTGTTTGCCTTTCTGGATGTCTGGGATTCTCTGCCAGCATTTAGAAGATGTTCTATGGGAGTTGTTCTACATGCAAGTGATTTTTTTAATATATTTGTGGGAGAGAAGGTGTTCTCTCTGTCCTATTCCTCTGCCATCTTGAAGGTCCCCTCTGTGTCTGACTCTTTTGTGACCCCATGGACTCTAGCTGACCATGCTCCTCTGTCCATGGGATTTTCCAGGCAAGAATACTGGAGTGGATTGCAATTTCCTTCTCCAGGGGATCTTCCTAACCCAAAGATTGAACCCATGTCTCCTGCATTGTCAGGCAGATTCTTTAACACTGAGTCAGCAGGGAAGCCCATAGAAATTCTCACTCAAGGTTTAAGATGAAGGAAGATAGCAAAGGATAGAATTTAATCACCCTTGCCTTCCTTTATTTTAGCAGGCTGATGGTTTCCTAAAGTATCATTGACTAAATTACTAAAATTGATGCTATGGAAAAACAGATAAGAACGATAATGTTTCTAAATATCACTAATCTTGATCTTTCTCTCTCTTTTCACAGTGACTGTTTTGAGCCCAGCAGAAAAAGGTAAGTAGGTATTATAAGTTGTTTTTATCAGGACTATATCCCTCTTTCTGTCTAAAAGTGAATTACATTAAGCCTATAAATTGAGCAACTTTCCCAGGAATACACTGAGGTTAGTGGAAAGTTTAAGATGATATCTTTTAGGAAGATTACCTAGAGATAAAGCAGAACATATTTTCAGTAGCTCCTCTGGAAAAAAAAATATGGAGTTTGTTTAAATAAGGTTCTTTTTTAGAAAGGTAATAATGTACTATAAAAATAAAAGTTAAAAGAGTAATAAAGGACTAAATTTTTTTTAATTTAAAAAAAATAATAATAATAATATGTCTAGGTATTTCTCTGGAGCTTTTGTGGACAGTGTTGGTGGGGTCAGTTCACTGTCAGATAGTCCTTTGTTTCAACTTATACTTGCTCTTGAAGTCTACAGTTGCCCCTCAAATGCACAGTCTCAGCTTAACTGCAGTTTTAATCTGTTGCACCTGTTACTTCTGGGGCAGTTTCCCCTTCTTTCCTTTGCTTCATTTGGTCTCCCCTGTTTGCAAGTCTCTTCAGTGTCTAATTTCCACCCTGACATGAGGAGGCTAAAGTGGCCACTTATTCGAGTTCACTTGCTCAGCTGTGCTGTGGAGAGGGAAGGACACTGCAAAAAAATACTGCTGGCATATGTGGGGAGTGCTCACAGTGGATAGATCACACTGGGTTGCCACAGCCCAAGGTGGCATGTACTTCCCAGGTCCAAGCCTCTCAGGCTCTCAGGTGTGCCGTGAGGACACAGTCCCAGGTGAGCCGTTGCGTCTCATGCACTTCCCAGATCCAAGCCTCTCAGGCTCTAGGTGCACCACGAGGGCACAGTCTCAGGTATGCCATGTGTCTTGTGCACCTCCCAGGTCCAAGCAGCTCAGGTTCTCGGGTATGCTGCGAGCACACAGTCCCAGGTGGGCCATGCATCTCATTGGGGAGCTAGTCCCAAGCTCTAACACTCCTAGCCAACATGAACCATCCAGGATTCCAGGAAGATGTGATTAGTGACTGCGAGCCAGCTCACAGCTTGGCGGAGATGCAGTCTCTGGGGCTGAGATTGCAGCTGCCCATTGCCTTATGCCTCTCTGCCTTCAAGGAGAGAGGGCATAAATGGCAGCCAACTTGCTCACTAGAGCATGATCCTTTGTTCTGTGAGCACGCCAGGGGTCACAGTGCTGTGTTACAGCCTTCCCGTGGGAAAGGTCCTTTTTTTTTTTTCTTTGTTTCTCTGGCGTTCCCATGATTTAGGTTGCTATGTCACATTAGTCTCCTCAGAGTGTCCTCAGGGCATTCACCCCAGTCTTTACCCTAAGGACTGACAATGTAGCTCATGCCTCCGCACCAGCCCCCACTGACTTTGGTCAAAGGCAAGCATGTGAGCCACTTCTTGGCTAATAATTGCTGTTCATTGTGAATTCTGTAGTGATTTTCTTTTCAGTTGTGCTGCCCTCTAAGATTCCAAAGCTCCCCACTGACCCCACCTCTGAGAGGGTTTTATATTGTGTGGAAACTTCTCCTCCTTCATGACTCCCTCCCCAGGATGGATCTCCATCCCTAAATCTTTCGTCTCTCTTTTCATCTTTATCTTTTGTCCTACCTCATTTTGAAGAGATTGTTTTGTTTTTCTGGGGTATCTGGGTTCAGAAGTTGTTTTGTGGAAGTTGCTCCACAGGCAGATGATCTTTTGATGTATTTGTGGGGAAGAGAGTGGTCTCCCATCCTATTCCTCCTCCATCTTGGGACTACCCATGAATGGTTCTTAAGGTCAAAGATTTTGTATATACATATATGAAATATTTATAAATAAATGTCATTTTCCACAATAGCCTTTCAAGAGAAGTGGATGGGGGCTTAGTTGATGCTCCACCGTAATAGTAATAATGACAGTAATATTGTTATTATAATTGGAAACTACAATTTATTGTGCAGGGTACCTCACTAAGTATTGTATGTGTGTATAATCTTCCAATATTTACATCAACACAATGATGTAGACATTCTTATGACATTTTATTGAGAAGAAAACTGAAGTTTAAAGAAGTTAAGCAACTTATACCAGGTCATCTAGCTAGTAAGTGGTAAGATTCAAACCCAAAACTGCCTGACATTAAAGTCCATGCTATTAAGCAAATGTATACCTGTTCTTTTACTTCTCAATCTACAACTTTATGATTTGCTTAGTTGACCTCCTTACTCAACTTGATGCTCAAATGCTCATTTTTCTAGTGTCCAAAGTAGTATATTTTCATTTTTTGTATGTTATCAATGAACTCAACTACACACGTGTAGAGTCATTTGTAAGCCCAATTCAGTTCAAAACCTTTCTGGTATCATCAATCCAGTTGCCAGAATTTGAATTCTTTAGGAAACTGTTACCACAATTTATGATTGTTAATGTCCATTTTACTCTAGAATTCTGTATTTCTCAAGCACTTCTCCCCTGGTAGCTCTTATATTCATCAATACACCAAAGAATAACATTAGATTTTGCTTCTTTATTCTGCAATGGGGCATAATGGGACAAAGAACAGGATTTAGGGACAGATGATCTGGGTTGAAGTTCCAGTTCTATTATTTACTAGCTCTATGACTTGCTAAGTAACTCAACTTCTCTGACCGCAATTTCTTTAAAATAAGTCTAGTTTAATAACATCTTACAGATTTATTATTTTAAGCTAGCAAGAGTAAAAGTATACAGGCATAAAATATGCAGCATTAAACTGCTTTGTAAATGTGAAGTATTAATAATTTCAGTTGTAACATTTTTTATATGTCAGGATTCTCAAGACAGTAGAATCCATAAACTAAAATTAGATTCAAATGTAACCAAAAGTTTGAAAGTTAGACTTGAAGATAACTTTCTGAACACTAGGGCAGTTTAGTAGGACATGCCATAAAACCTATTCAGAAAGGATTAGACACCCAACTGTCTGGCATGAATCAGTGAACCTTCTCTAGAAGCAAACCAATAGGTCTAATAACTATCTGAGGTTATTTCTAACCCTGTAACTCTGTGACTTGTTTAGTGCAAAAATAGAGGGGAACAATAGAGTCAGAAAGACTAGAGATCTCTTCAAGAAAATTAGAGATACCAAGGGAACATTTCATTCAAAGATGGGTTCAATAAAGGACAGATAGCGTATGGACATAACAAGCAGAAGATATTAAGAAGAAGTGGCAAGAATACACAGAAGAACTATACAAAAAGTATCTTCATGACCCAGATAATCACAATGGTGTGATCACTCACCTAGAGCCAGACATCCTGGAATGTGAAGTCAAGTGGGCCTTAGGAAGTATCACTACGAACAAAGCTAGTGGAGGTGATGGAATTCCAGTTGAGCTATTTCAAATCCTAAATGATGATGCTGTGAAAGTGCTGCAGTCAATATGCCAGGAAACTTGGAAAACTCAGCAGTGGTCACAAGACTGGAAAAAGTCAGTTTTCATTCCAATCCCAAAGAAAGGCAATGCCAAAGAATGCTCACACTACCGCACAATTGCACTCATCTCACATGCTAGTAAAGTAATGCTTAAAATTCTCCAAGTCAGGCTTCAACAGTTCGTGAACTGTGAATTTTCAGATGTTCAAGCTGGTTTTAGAAAAGGCAAAGGAACCAGAGATCAAATTGCCAATATCCACTGGATCATCAAAAAGGCAAGAGAGTTCCAGAAAAACATCTATTTCTGCTTTATTGACTATGCCAAAGCCTTTGACTGTGTGGATCACAATAAACTGAGGAAAATTCTTCAAGAGATGGGAATAGCAGACCACCTGACCTGCCTCTTGAGAAACCTGTATGCCGGTCAGGAAGCAACAGTTAGAACTGGCCATGGAACAACAGACTGGTTCCAAATAGGAAAAGGAGTACGTCAAAGCTGTATATTGTCACTGTGCTTATTTAACTTATATGCAGAGTACATCATGAGAAATGCAAGGCTGGAGGAAGCACAAGCTGGAATCAAGATCACTGGGAGAAATATCAATAACCTCAGATATGCAGATGACACCACCCTTATGGCAGAAAGCAAAGAAGAACTAAAGAACCTCTTGATGAAAGTGAAAGAGGAGAGTGAAAAAGTTGGCTTAAAGCTCAACATTCAGAAAACTAAGATCATGGCATCCAATCCTATCACTTCATGACAAATAGATGGGGAAACAGTGGAAACAGTGTCAGACTTTATTTTGGGGTGCTCCAAAATCACTGCAGATGGTGACTGCAGCCATGAAATTAAAAGACACTTACTCCTTGGAAGGAAAGCTATGACCAACCTAGACAGCATGTTAAAAGCAGAGACATTAAAGGTCCGTCTAGTCAAGGCTATGGTTTTTCCAGTAGTCATGTATGGATGTAAGAGTTGGACTGTGAAGAAAGCTGAGTGCCAAAGAATTGATGCTTTTGAACTTTGGTGTTGGAGGACTCTTGAGAGTCCCTTGGGCTGCAAGGAGATCCAACCAGTCCATCCTAAAGGAAATCAGTCCTGAATATTCATTGGAAGGACTGATGTTGAAGCTGAAACTTCAATACTTTGGCCACCTGATGCAAAGAAGTGACTCATTTGAAAAGACCCTGATGGTGGGAAAATTTGAAGGCGGGAGGAGAAGGGGATGTCAGAGGATGAGATGGTTGGATGGCATCACTGACTCAATGGACATGAGTTTGAGTAGACTCCAGGAGTTGGTGATGGACAGGGAGGCCTGGTGTCCTGCATTCCATGGGGTCTCAAAGAGTCAGACACGACTGAGTGACTGAACTGAACTGATTAAATTAGAATACAGAATAGCATATGACTGCCTGTAGGAACATTATTTGGCATAAACAAAACATATATAAGCAGCAAAGATATGAAAGCCTCAAATCACATAACCTTTTATTCATTATTCAGAGCTTAAGAAAACCTAGTCAGACATAGTACAAGTTTTTCTATTTCTTATCTGCTTAATGGTGCCCCTACTGGGTGAAGAGTGTCCCTCCAGAATT